TTGTGCTTTTAGAGCAGGTATCGACATGATTTTAATAGTGTCATTTCGCGAGATAGGCTTGCCCAAAGCAATTTTATTGCATTTTTTGGATATTTTGGGTATGGTAAATACAAAAATGCAAGGGTCCATTTTTTCCGAGATGGTTGTGGCGGCCATTTTGGAATTTCAAAATGGCCGCCATTTTCACATAAAAAATAACAATAACTGTGCCATTAGAGCAAATATCAACATCATTTTGGCAGCAAACCCTATATTTTCAATGTCAACCTGTCCAATGGTGATATTCTCACTGATCATTAATGGCGGCCATCTTGAATTTCAAAATGGCTGCCACAACAATCTCGGAAAAAATGGACCCTTGCATTTATAGCTGAAGCCTCCAAGGGGAGGGGTTACACATGTAATGGGAACACCTCTCCCCACCCCATGACCAAATTCCCCCGTTTTTTACTATCAAAATGTTAGCATTTATGAAAACTGCATTATTTTTTTTAAAAGTAAATATGTCGATTGAAAAAGATTTATTACGAACTTAATAACACATTAACCAGTCCAATGGATATATTCACATGAAGAACGAAGGCCAGCTGTCTTTACTCAAAATGACTGACATTTTTTCAGATGCATGTCAAGTGTTTTTACAATATCAGCCACTCCGGTATTAATCTAGAAATTACATAAGAGTTCCTTAATCAGCAGATCAACATATCTTGTTAGAACAATAAAACATGTGTCATGCTATTCTTCTCTGCCATCTACACATTTGAAACTTGAAATTATTTCATTAGGTATTATTGTTTAAGAGTTTGCATGACGGAGTAACAATAATTTAAAAAAAAAATGTACCGGTAGATGTTGGTGGTAGTAGATATCTACATGGTGTAGAGCAAACTGGTGTAATCAAACATGAACAAGATCAAGAACCACAATGAAAACCATTACACCAACCCACTCTCTCATCATTAATGATTAAACTGGTAGGCATACATACCACCCATGCTCTTCAGATTAGCCTCATTGTATACTACTAGTTTTTAAAGCAAATTCAGTTATTATGATGTAGACGTCTGTTCAAGCACTTTAAAAGTGCTTGAATAGACGTCTACACCATAAAATCGGGCAGAAAATTTTAGTTCTTGCGCAATAATTTTTTCTGGAACTCAAATTTAGCCACCACTACGACTGCTTTGGATGCTGGAAGAGTAAAATATGTTGTTGGCATGACCCATTAATACTGCTCCCATCAACAATTCTTTCTTGACTGAGATAATATTTTAATTGGTAAAGTGTCATGTACAGACTTGTACATAAGTCATATCAAGGTAACCACAGTACTTGCAATTTTCCTATTTTTTCATTTGCAATAACCAACATTAATATAGGGTGGCAAGTAAGCATTTATTAGTTTTGTGTCTAAGGCAGTCTATAAAATACAGTAGCATCAATGTGTCTGTCATTTGATGCATCCTGATAATGTTTAACATCTTCCGACAATTGAAAGTGTTGACCTTGGTATCTGTTCCCTAATCAATAACCAACTTTTTAAACTGCATTCTTCAAATGGATGTGCCCATGTGCCATAGATGACTTGATTTTTCCAAAAGATAATATCTATCACAGACACATGGTTTATTGCCAAATTTCTTTCGATGTCATATTAATTGGTTTTGGTTTGTTCTTTTAATAGTTTGCACTTCACTGAATCTTGAACATCATATCTGTCGAATTTTTAACAAAGTTGGACTGTTTTATCTGGTTTGTAATCGTTAATCTGTGTCCTTGATGCTGTCATTATTTATTATTGATATATTAATCATGTTAAACTCTAACCATTAGCAAAGATAAGGAAACAATCTCTGTCTTTGTTCTGTTAACTTGATACGTTGTCCCCAATCCCACAAGTATATTTTGGTATTGCCAAATGGTAAAAATACCAATGAAGTAGATCCAACTCTTATTTTTTGGAAAATAACCCATAGTGAACAAAAAAGTAGTTTGCGCATTCCTTGTTCTACTGTCTTTGCCGATACCTCCTTGCCCTGTGCACCTAATTGTCTGTCTCTTATACACATCTAGCAATTATCGATATTTACGTTAAATTTCTTAGATATTTTAGACTTAAAAAAACATACGTATGACAGTTTTGGTCACTCAGTTACCATTCTCAAACTAACGTGTAGAAATCTGCATCTATCTCCAGCTTGCCGACTGGTGGTATTGTGTCGGCAAACCTCTCCTGGTTTGATGTAAGCAGGAGTCCCTGGGTCTTGTTGTGGGTCGACAAAAATTGTTCAAACACATGGGACAATTGGTGTACTCCCTCGTCTCTGTTAATATGATTGTCTTTACTTCTGAACCATTTAGATCCTTATTCATCTACTGCCGACATCAGTTCCCCCTGTAACTTGTAGTATTTCCAATCTGGGATGTGGTTGTGTGTGACAATATGTCCAGTGATTGCTGATTTGTGCATGTCTCATTAAGAAGAACCCATGTTGGCTCTAGTTCGTACCCCTTTATTTATATTTTTCAACCTCATTTCATGTTTACCTAAGCCTTTACTATTGGTCGCAATGACCACATAATAACTCTAAGGTGAGTGTTTGCTCATGGAATCTTGTTTTTCGGATGCACTAGTTCTCTCAACTAATTTTGATGTCTGAATCATGTATTAAAGTTGTGTGTGCTCATTCGATCCGATCTTTTTCGATAGACCACTGACATACAGAATCATGACAAAGCCCCTTTTGGATTTCTCTTTGGTAGTTCACATGTGTTGTCTTTCTGTCTTCATGGTCCAAGAAATGTATGATTCCACTTGGAATATAACCATTAGAATAGGTTTGCAATTAAAACTTGGGTTTTGCAATTAATAATTGACATTACTTCGCAAAAAACTAAGCAGTTTGTGTTAGAAATTTGTCGGCCATTTCGAAATTCAAAATGGCCACCATTCTTGATCCATATGTGTATATCACCATTCGGCAGCTTGACATTGAAAACACAGGGTTTGGCTACCTAAATCATGTTGACCTGCTCTAATGGCACAGTTTTGTTTTTTATTACTGTGAAAATGGCAGCCATTTTGGAATTCAAGATGGCCGCCATTTATGATTCATGAGAATATGACCATTGGACAGGTTGACATCGAAAACCTATGGTTTGCTACCAAAATCAAGTTGATACCTGCTCTAATAGCACAGTTATTGCTATTTTACTTTCAAAATGGCAGCCATTTTGAAATTCAAGATGGCTGCCATTTATGGTTTGTGAGAATATCACCATTGAACAGGTTAACATTGAGAATATAGGGTTTGGTACCAAAATCATGTCGATACCTACTCTAATAGCGCAGTTATGGTTACTTTTACTGTATAAATGGCGGCCATTTTGAAATTCCAAAATGGCCACCAAGACAATCTCGGAAAAAATGGACCTTTGCAATTTTGGATTCAGCATACCCAAAATATCCGGAAAATGCAATAAAATTGCTTTGGGCAAGCCTATCTCACAAACCTGTTTTTTTTTTTTTTTTTGACATTAGGTTTCTCACTAAAATGGCGATGGAAGTTTGTTGGAAATTACCTCTAGTTTATGTGTACAAACTTTCCTGCACGTCTGTTAAAAAATAGCGACACTGGACGCTTTTAAAGTTTGAAACCCCTGTTTTGTTTTGTAGGTGTAGGGGAATTCTGGGGACAAACTTTAAAAAGGGCGATGAACGTTTGCTGTAAATCACTTCTAGTTTATGTCTACAAAATTCCATGCACGTCCGTTCAAAACTGGCGACGTTGGACGCTTTTAAAGTTTTGGTAACAAGAACAAGAACAAAAACAGCTGAGGTTCTGGGTTAGCACTTCGCGCTGACCAAAAAACATGTAAAATTTGAGATTTTTTGGTCGAATTTTGGCACTTGAATCGAAAATTCAGCGTTTATTCCGTGTGATCAAAGAGCTGGTGACGAGGATTCACCTGGTTGCCAGCTTGTAATGTCCAGGGGCAGATCCAGTATGAGGCACGGGGGGCACATGGAACACGTTTCACCACCCCCACCCGTTTTGCCACTAAAACTTTTAACTTTTATGCAAATGAATGTATGTGCTACTCATTTGCCTATTCTGAGATTGTTGTGCCCCCACCTCCCGTTTGAAAAATTCTTGATCCGCCCCTGATGTCTACGAAATAAAAGTGTTTGAGCACTTTCATTCTGGTGGCCTGTCAGGAAAAAAATTGGTCCGGCCCACCGGACCGATTTTGGCATTAAAATTACCTGCCAAAATGTAGTCCACCAAAGCCAAAAACAGTCCTTTTTTTTTTTTTTTTTTTAGCAAATTGTTAATATTTGTTTTTAATCAAATGGTATATAAATATCTCATCTCTTATTATATAATATTTTTTCAATCAATTATTTTTTGACCTTGTTTTGTTTTGTGTGCTTGCTTAAGCCGCGACTGTATTAATAATAATACAATAATAGGTAGGCCTATAATAATAATAATAATAATAATAATAATAATAATAATAATAATAATAATAATAATAATAATAATAATAATAATAATAATAATAGGTCCATGGGCCTACTATATATGAGCATTCATTTCAAAGAAATTACTGACCCCTTTCTTTTCATGTAAAGAACAACTATTTATCAGGTGTGTTTGAAACGTCCACAAAAGGTTAATACGAATCATTCTGTCGCTCAAGATTGCAAATGTGGGAGAAGCATAAATTACTTTCCTCCACTCCACGGGAGAAACAATCATACCCTACGGGCTGCAGACGCGTTACAAGTGGCCAGGCCGATGGACAATTTTATCCAAGAGGGGCCGGTTTTAGCGGTTAAAATCGAACCGGCGGACTGATTTTGGCGGCCAAAACCTGTCCACCGGACCTTTTTTTTTTTGGTCCGGACCAATTTTGGCGTGACAGGCCACCCGTCTAATGAGCCCTGATTTTACACTACACAAAGCTACAAAGAAAATAAAAATGGAACCCACCTGCTAAAAGAAGCAAGAGACAAACATGGAACAACATACTGTACTTCGCACATCAAGCTCCTTCAAGCAATGACTGTAAGATACAACTACAATTGATACTTGTAGTCAGTAAATAATTGATACACATCAGTCGTTTAAATGAATAAAATCGAAATTCAAAGGTAGATTAATACCCTATTCAGACTAGAATTCAAAGGTAGATTAATACCCTATTCAGACTAGACTTTGCATTGCGACCGGGTTGCGATGAAATTGGTGGTGGTAAACAGTTGTAATCCAAATTGTTTGCAACCATTTGCAAACTTCGACAGCATTCAGACACCTTTTTACCTTGATACTTTTACATCACTAGCAACGATACAGGTATTCCTGTTTTGTTTGACCTCAGCCAATCACTGCCTGTGGAATCCGTTGCGATCGGATTCTGTGGTAATCGGGAGTAATAAAGATTGTAGCACCCAATCGCAACTGGTAACAATTGTGAAATCGATTACTTATCGACTACTATTGGTAATTTTGTTAATAAATGAATAACCTGTTCAATAAAATATTCTGTTTTAATTAGATTTTATCCACTATTATAGAAATACAGTATACAATTTTTACTACAATTCAATCTAAACAGATAAAGAGATCAAATAGTAAGATCATAATTATTGTTTGAAGGGTTTCATGGCGAAGTAAAATATATAATTAATGCTCGCGGTACACCACGTAGATAGTTCTGAAAAGAACTGTTGTTGTTGGTTGAGAATATCTCGACGTTTCGGTTGACTTGCTTCAACCGTCTTCAGGAGAATAATATCTTCAGAGATCTCAAACAGGGAAATACTTATATGTTTCAGTGATGAGACTTGCTGCTGATTGGTTGAGCCTACCAGTGAAAAGCTATACAAAAGCTAAAATTCACGGTCTGAATAGAAGGGCGGGGCGTGGCTAGAAAGCCAAGACAGTGGCATTGTTCTAGCTGGGGGAAGGAAAGCCACAAACAATGACATAGTTTCCAGTGTAGAGGGAAAGATTTGGCGGGAAAAATTTGGTTTAGGTCCGGTTAAATATGGACAACCAAATATCGCTGATGACAAATCCAATATCTTGATGTACTGTATCGTGTTTGTGAATGTCTATAGCTTCTCTGGTCCGTCTGGAATGCCAAGATGGTACAGTGGCTATCAGTTCAGATTTATCCCAACATACACGATGTTGTTGTGTGTGGGAGTGCATGACTATAGATGACTTCTGTTGTTCCCCTCTCCTGGCATGGCCTTGGTGTTCCTTGAGCCTGGTACGGAGATCAAGACCTGTTACACCAATGCAAACCTTTCCGCATTCGCATGGTATCCGATAAACTCCTGGCTGGCTATTTGCTGGTGGCTTATCCTTGTGAGTTTGAAGAGTCCTTGATAGTTTGTTATTAACCTTCATTCATTAATAAGTATATTTTTTACATTTAAATTATTATTATCATTAAAGGGAACTGTTTAATTGAAAATAATTTTTAAAGGAAGTTGAGACAAGTTCTTTTAGAAATTTAAATAAATTTATAATAGTAAAATATTAGATAAATGCTATAAATATTTTTAAAAAATATTATTAAATGTGTTAAAACTTTACTACAAATTTTACATTTGAATTTCCATCTTTGAAGTTAAAATCATTAAAAAAGGCAAACTTTAAGTACAGAGATCACTGAAATCTACAATGATTATTAACATATGCATGATGTCAAAACAGTTGAATAATTTAAAGGCGTATAATAGCAAGTCACAGTGTAAACTATCCTATCGTAAACCAGATAAAACAGACACACCCAACATTATCCACCACACTACCCACATCACTTTAACAATGGTATATTCCATGTGGTTTTCGTCCGGGTGGTTATTGTCATGGGTGGTTATGTCCTACCATGGTCCTCCTACATTCTCAGCTGCCTGCCTCTCTTCCGAGATTATGCTCAACATCTCAACACATAAATATGGCATTAAAAGCATGTCATACGCAGATACAAAAGTTCACGAAATTATTCAAGCGGAACTCTCAGCAAAATTAGATATAAAGATGTATGGAACGCCTCCTCTGCCTTCAGTTCACAATCATCATAGTGATTGGTAATGACTGCATGATAATTGGTAATGACTACATGACGATTGTAAAACTGAATAGAAATTAACTTAAATATGAGGGTCCATTTAACGTTTAATAATTGTTTGGAAGGAAAATAATGAAATGATGTCTCTAAATAGAAGTTCATATGCACCAGCCGAATATAGTACAATCACAGGCCGGTAGCCAGGTTTTTCCAAGGGGGGCGGGGGTGTTGGGTTCTGGGCGTGAGGTCCACAGTCGAAGCCCCGATGGGGCCGGCGAAACCCCCAAAGCAAGATGATTTTTGTACTTTATGGGTCTAAATA